TATGCAGATGAAGGGCAGCCTACCCCCCTACCCCCCCCCCCCCCCCCCCCCCCCCCCCCTAAAAAAACCTCTCCGGTTCTACGCGATTCACGTGAATGACCCAATTGACCAAAAAAAACGGCGATTATCGCCGAAAAGCGACAAGTTTGCAGGTCTGTTACAGTAATGTATGTAAAAACTGAGCGCAAAACTACATCATAACAGCTCATACAACACAACGGACCTCAGGTGTTTACTAGACAGCTACACATCTAGATTTTCAGTGCCCATGTGTGTGTTCGCATGTATACATACATTATCACTCAAATGTTTGGGGTTAGTACGATTTGTTTTTCAATTCACTGAACTGATCAAAAGTGACAGTAAACACATTTATTAGGTTACAATAATTTCTATTTATAAAAAGAACATTGCTGTGTTGAACTTTCTATACATCAAAGAATCTTTAAAAAAAATGTATCACAAAAATGTTAAGCAGCACAACTGCTATCAACACTGGTAATAATTAGAAATGTTTCTTGAGCAGCAAATCAGCATATTAGAATGACTTTTCAAATGATAATGCGAAGACTGGAATTCTAAAATTCCATTAAAAAAAATTCTAATTTTAAATTGTAATAATATTTCACAATATTTGACTGTTTTTACTGTATCTTTGATCAAAAAAATGCAGCCTTGGTTAACATTCAAGACTTTTTTCCAAAAACACTGGTGTGAAATGGTAAGAATGGTAGAGTATATATGTCCAAAGTTTTCAACATGTTCAAATAGAGTAAAACCTGTCCAACACTGACTTGAGGATATGTGAAGGGATCCTGGCTAACAGATCTTCAAAAGTCAGTGTCCAGTATGTGTGTGTGAGTGTGTGAACGAGGGTGGGACGCTGATCTTTATGCAATGTACTTCAGATAAAAAGCTTGACATTTACTTCAAATATGTTTTTGTGTGTTATCGGTGATGTAATGTTTTCACTAGTTCAGACGACGCCGGTGAGAAAGGGAAAACTAATGAGAAAAGAAAAAGAGATTACAAGCATGAGGAAAAAAAAAGTGTTGAGGTCCAAAAATGTACAAAAGCTAACAAATTCTTTGGCATCCCTATTCAACAATTAATATAAATACATACAGATCTTTAAGGATCTTTAAAGCAGGCCTGGAAGAGAAAAATGCATATCAACATGGCAGTAAAAAATGCTTATTTTGTCATATGCATTTACTGCTAGCTTGAAATGTTTCTAATGACAAACAAAAATGAATGCTATAACGTTGATGTTTTATGTACCAAAGAAATATGATACTATATCGCAGAACTGCTATCGGCAGATCTAGTGTAGTTTTTGTTGCTGTTGATGAAGTAGTCCTGCTTTAAAGTGAGGATAATGTGTATGAGAAATTGTTTGAGCGAAGCAGCACTTCTCTCTTCCCTCATTCCACGTACACCACATCAGAACACAACTGATCCCAACAACACAGAATCACTGCGCTGAGATGCTATTACACTTTACATTTCAAACTACAACCCATACCCTGTGCATAACAATAATCTGGAGCCAGTGTAGACACAAACAGAGACAGCCGGTGTTATAAAACAAGATGAGGTGGGGGCTGTCTGGATGGTACGTCTCACTATATATGAGAGGATAAAGCTCATTCTTCATGGTCTCTGATATAACAGATGCTAATAAATGTTAATGCACACATAACATGCTTTGTAGTTTCTGTCTATGGCGTATTGCATCAGTGACACAAATTATATCTTGAGGGTGCTGAAGCCCATTGTGGTGTCAGAAAGAGAGAGAGACAGAACGGAGCTGTCAGTTCGACTCAGGCCTGTCTGTGATCAGAGTTTGTCTCACATGGTACTGATAAGACATTAGTTTTCACAGGCCTCAGAGCGTCCCACTTAAGATGCTATCCTCTCTCCATTTCATCATCCCTCTCTTATAAGGAACAGATTTAACTTAATTCACCCACTTTATCTCTCATTTCATGGTTGTCTGCAGCCTTTGGGGTATGAAATTGTGAGAAAGATTTGCATTTTGGTTGGTGGTGTGGGTGTGTTTTTCTGTATGGTTTCATCTTTAGATAAAAGTAAACTCATTCCCAAAATAAGGAACTTTTAAAGCAATCATCAAAATTGGATTTGCCCTTTTGGCTCATTTCGGTTCTTTAACCAACTCAACTAAGTTAACACAGTTATTGTGTGTCCATGAGATAAACGCATAACTACTAAAAAGTCAGTGTTGCATTTTTTTATGAATCTAGAGCAGAAATAGTTTACCCAAAAACCACCAAGACTTTCATTTGAGAGTTTTTAGAGAACAGTGACTGAAATTTTTTATTTAGATTCATTCATGCTTTCTATTAAGCAGAAATCTCTCAGGCTTAAATAAAAATATCTTCATTTGTGTTTCGAAAATGAACAAAAGTCTTATGGGTTTGGAACGATATAATGATGACAGAACTTTCAGTTTTGGCTGAATTATTCCTTTTTTTAATCATTTGAAAACTCAGAAGTTAGTGCTTAAACCTTGATGGACACTGAATGAATAAGCTGAATCCATCAGAGAAGTCACTGAATAAAATGAATCACATTTATTACTTTTCACTGATTTATTTTATTAAACTACATAAACAATAATTAATCAAAAAACACATTTGTATAATTTACAGCAATAGCTGAGAGTTTTTTATATGTAAGCAAAATAAACATAACTAAAAATGTATCTAAATTAATCTGAATAAAAGTATCAAAATATGAATCAAATATAAATTGGATGAATGAAATCAAATAAAATCAATGACTGACATCTAACTGCAAACGTTGTGTAAAACATCTCATTTTGTTTTCCAAAGAAAAAGCTATAAATATGTATTTTGAACAATATGAGGGTGAGTAAATTTTGCCAGAAATGTCATTTTATCCTTTTAAGTTTCTTTTGCCAATGGCCGAGGGCCAAAGAAAATCCACTTTGCCTCACAGACAGGAAGTAGTAAGTACAGTTAGCGTTCAGCTACTACTTGACATTTTAGTACACACACACATACACACACACACACAAACAACCACATGACAGACATACTGTACAGCATTAAGAGCCCTCAAAGCAATTTAAAAGACACATTAAAGCTGAAACTGTCTATAAAAGTAAATTAAAGTTCAGTCAAATAAAGACTTGCCACCTTGGGAATGCCAACCACATTGAATCATTTAGCGGACCTTAAGAGTCCAACAACAATTTATAAACTACTAGTGGGTCAGTGGGTACAGCTGGTTCAAACAACAGCTTAGAGAGCCCACCTTTGGCCAAATCACACAAGACCTGGTGCAGTTCGGAGAGGATAGGAGACTCTCATGGCTGCTGGCTGGTCCTCTCGGTTACTCCCAGCACGACTCACAATGAGGCTCTGGCTGACACTCAGAGAATGCAGCCAAACACACACACACACACACACTCATTTACAGAGCAAAGCAGCCAGAAACAGCATCCAAACACAGCTGAGACACACTCACATTAATCAGACACTCGCTCGCACACACGTATACTTTCGCAGTCTCACAATAGCCATCCATCCTGTTTCTCTTCTTTTGTCTTCTCCACAAGTTGCTCTCCTGACATTGGGACATGATTTACAAACAGAGACAGTGGAGCGAACGAGAAGGAGTCAAAGTCAAAGTGAGATGTAAGCTGTAGCCATGTTAGTTTTGGGGTGGTCTCCTTGTGTGAGCCTCTGTAAACATTAAATAACAAACATGGCTACCTCACAGACCCCAAACACTTGTGGATCATTTCTCATTCCCAGATCATATCTAGTTCTGCACCATGAACAGTGTTGGGGAATAGAGTAGAGACGCAACTATTTATTATATTTTTCTTCTCAGCAGTGCGGCAGCAGTTTCCAAAATAGTGTTGCTTTTTCCAGCAACATTTTCCAAAGAGTAGCATGATGAAACGCTACATGGATGCTTTTTGTCACACTGTGTTGTGGAAACTAAATGAGGAAATATATTCTCTCTGAAGTAATTGAAGCTAATTTGTTTTAAAAAAAATGCAGTCCCTGTGTGTAACGGGTTTAAAAATATAATAGATATAAAATATTGAGTCAGATTTCGTTAAATGCTGCCTTTATATTGGAGTGTTTTTATTAACTTGGTTTTAACTGCATATTTACGTTTTACTTAGTATAGGCCTTTATCACACTTTGAAAAAATAACTTCCGCCGTAGCCTGTATGAATGGCAGTTCCCATAGCATGGGATTGTTGTGATTTATTGATGCACAGTTCATCACAGATACTTCATCTAAACACATCAACCATAGTTTACAATCATTAATCGGGTATGATGAAAAATAGTGTCATGTTATTCAGGCACCTTTTCATGATTTAAAGGGGAGCACACTACTTCAGAGTCTGACCTCCTTTTCTTATTTAAGAAATGCAAGAATAGAATACATATATATGAATTATAAGTAAAGACTGTACAAATTGAATCATAATAAATATGCTGCAACAATAAAAACAAATAAAATTCTGATTGTATTCCGATTATTCCCTCGGCAGCATGCAGATCGTCATTTATCTAATGACTGTGACAACATCGGCAATGCTGACAATCGCTTCACTCACATAATGTTGCACATTAAAATGGAAGATTACAGGTACACATATGGTAGGGTATGTAAGGCTAAGTAAAACGTTTGCAATACTGATGTTTTTTGTCAAGTTCAATTAAGGCCGGATGTGTTTTCTACCCAGTAAACACTCTTCTAATTGCACAAATGTGTTTTATAACCAGATAGTTAATGTAGCAAACTATACATTTTCAAAAGAGTAGCTTGTAGTTTGACTACTTTAAATTATAAGTTGAGCTTGAAATTTGGGAAACTTAAAGTAGATTCCCCAACACTGACAAAGCATAGAGCACAGCATAAAGATTCCTTCTTCACAACTGCGTGTAGTTCTGTATCAGGCTACAACTACCATCTCTGGTCAGTCTTACCTTCCTCACACTGAGATCCGCTGTATCCAGGACAACATTTCCACTCCAGAGAGGTGATGGTGCGGTACACAACTTTATAGGATGGCCGGACCACAGTGCGATAGCTGCAACACACACACATAAAATGTAAGTCTGTTTGAAAGTATGTTACCAAATGACTCTAAAAAGACAGCAAAATCTTCAAAACCTACAACAGCGGAAACATTTTTAAAGTCGTATATATATATAAAAAAATGCTAAAAGTTTTAATGTAAGGATTTTTTAAGTTTACATGCAGCTTCTTTCACACAAGAAACTCTAAGAAACACTATCACCCAACAACGAAAATGTTGGTGACTCTTCTTTTCCTAATGTAGCTAGATAGTTAGCGTTGTAATGTTCTCACACAGCAATTCACATGCATTCATTAATATTATTTATAATAATATTATTAATATTAAAAATGATCATTATTTAATCATAAAATTGTCTTAATAAATAAAGCAGAACAACTATTTTGGAACTATTTTGAAATGTAAGTTTGGGGTCAGAAAGATTTTTTTAAGAAAGCAATACTTTTATTCAGCAATTATTAATAACATTAAACTGATCAAAGGTGACAGTAAAGATTTTTACATTCTTACAAATTTTTTTTTATTAAAAACATTCAAATAGAAAACTGTTATTTTAAATTGTAATATAATAATATTGTACAACACTACTGTTTTACTGTATTATTTATTAAATAAATGTGGCCTTTGTGAGCATATGAGACTTCTTTCAAAAACATTTTAAAAGTTGTATTGACCCCACACTTTTGAACAGTTATATCATGCACATCATGCAACAGTTACTGGTTTTTACAAGGTCCAGTCAAGGACTGCAAAATGGAATTATGGGATTATAATTTCACACATGCAATTTGGAACAGTGTTACTGTCCTACTAACACATGAACACATTTACTGCACAGGCAGCATATGTGAAAGTGACCAATGAGAGGTTCCCAAAATGATATAAAACCCTATAAGTGAATGTGTGCTGATGATAAACTCACCTTCCCCCATTGCAACCCTGAGGCCACCTGCAAGTCTGATAGACTCTCTGGAGTGTGGTGCCATTCTGTACCTGACAAGTCACAGTCTTTGTCACCGTCTGAGGACACCAGTTTCTAAAATAGAGATAAATATGATAATCAGAGCAATCTAATTGAATTTGATGGTTCTGATGACATAAGAATAATAACACATGCACATAGCTGGCCATGAAATGATCTAATCCAACTCACACATACTGTAAAAGTGATCAATGTTTTGTTGGACGCCCGTACTTCAACAGTCTAACCGTCTCTTTTGAAAACTCTTTATGGTGTTTACACAGGTTAAATGACCCGTACGCCCGGCAGGAGAGCATTGTCAGTGCCGTTTACTTTGCGGCCTTTCTCTAGCAAATCACATCCGCCCATTTTTATTCTTTCCGCAGCACTACAAGCAGGTCAAGTCACGGAGGGGGTCACTGCCCCGCATGTGTGAGCGTGTGGGCTCCTCATCTAGATTTAAGACAGCTTTTAGAAACCTGAGCCAAAACCGGAGCAGAGGCACAGTCCCTGGGAGAAAGAGTGGCTCTTTTGTGCTGCTTTTTATCAGGGCTTCACTTCACACAGCTTGAAAAAACGAGAAACACTTCACACAGCTTGAAAAGCGACTGCTGGACAAATCCCTGAATCAGGTGCCCATATATTTTAATCCAATATTAAAATGAAAAAGTAACATTAACCCAAACAATGTCTCAAAAGGTCTTAGAAAAGCGGTCTACAGGAAAGATTTGACTGTGTTTTGAAAGGCTTATTTAGAGTAATATGTTCCTGCCCTAAAACATGTTATAGGGCATCTTCGTGACAGCAATGTAATGAAGAAAGCCACTTAAGGTATGATTTCAGTCATATTTCAGTCTCATTATTGAGCGGAAAATGCAAACGAGAGAAAACAAGCCTGGAAGACAAAAGTCATCTGGAAAGTTTGCTACGGTAATCACTAACTACATAATGTGGAACCTTCTAATTGGGAAGCCAGTGGCAAATCCAGCCCTGATGAGGAGCAGACTAGAGTCATGAGGAGAGGCGGAAAGTAACACAGAGAACCAAAACAAAGCTGCACGGCCCAAGCCCAGGATCTCGCATATGCCAGAAGTCACAAAAGAAAGGAATGAACGTGGGTTTGAAGAGAAACACCAATCAGATCTCTTTCCCCCTGAGCTCCCTCATGATTTTTACACGGAATGGCTTGAAACAAAGAGCCATTGATAAGTTCACCTCAAACAGACCTTTGTATGAACCATTATGCCTCAAGTTGAGCAAACATAAGTCAAAGAGATGTGGAGCAGAATTCAAAGAGAGTTAATGCACGTGTAACATATGGAGGTCATTATATCAACTATACTTCAGTGGTTATTATCAATGGCTCAGCTTATGCACAGCTATGATCACACATCAAGAAAACAGGACAGAGGGCCATACATGCTCAATAATCAGCATCAATCTGCCTATTCATGTAGGTTGTCTGTCTGTATATTTCAGGGATTGATGGTATTATGTTTCAAGCACACTTAAACATTGCTGTATAATGATGTGCATGTATTGCAGGTTTCTACAAAACTTCATATTAAAAAAAAACTATTTTAAAGAACAACATTTGTGGCAAGACAAAAAAAAATGACAAGGTATGACAGTGCAATTGCAAAGGAATGAATTTAATAATGGGTAACACCTAGCAGATTAGACAGGTCAAAGATGAATCTACCGTATATACATTTTCAAAGATGAAAATGAATATATACATACATATACTGTATATGAAGTTGTAACCAGAAGCAACATGGGGTCTAACATGAAACCATCCTCATGGCATGCTCACACATTAACATCTCTTGCATGCGCCGTTTCCCAGCCCTTTCCCAGAACCTGCTAAAACTGTGGCCCACAGAACCAGCCCTCAAATATGCCAGATATTTCCAAAGCCTATATGAATTTTAGGGGGTTTCCATGCCCTGCTTGAGACAAGGGCCCCCGGGACACAGAGTCTGGAATTGAACTGGGGTGACCACAGGCTTATCCGGTCACTACCTGCCCAACTGTTCCGGCCCAGCCAACAAACACACACAAACACAGAAGCCAATCTGGTCACAGCTGAAGACCATGGGGCTATTTCTGTGATCTGCTTGTTATTGAATTTAGGACCACAAATCATACCCTTGCCCTTCTCTAGGAAACACAGGAATGCACATTCAAACTCTACCATAAATACAACTGCACAAAAAAAAAATTACTACACATAATTTACCCAAGCGCAGGCCATGCATCCTGCATCAACATCCTTTGTTGTCAAATCAACCTAAATATACACATACACTCAGAGAGCAATGATTGGTTGAACGAAATAATGCAACAAAATAAAATAAAATAAAATTTTAAGTTTAAGTTTTAAAGCATAATTATGCCATCCAATAAAAGCAACTTAATTTGTTAAAAAAAGAGAAAAGAATTAAAGTCATATGTGTTTGGAATGACATAAGTAAATGATGCCAGAAATTTTATTTTGCGGTTTAATTTTGGGGTGAACTGTATTTGAACAGTCACATCACCTCTGTCAACACACCAAATCATGTTAATTCATCTGAGCAAAAACTATCACATATAATTGTTCCCATATTTCACCATGATTCCAGTTACTCTGAACTCCACCCAACTGATTCTGTCCATTTAGGATCATTTTAGCCTGCAAATACTACATAGGTTGAATAGACACAGAAATGAGCCGAACTTCCAAATAGTAGTAGGCGTCCGGGCAATGGGCATGCAGATAAAGATCGGCGGCACAGCCATCAGAACACAGTTCCCACACACCCAGCTTAGTGAACAGGGCGATTTGTTTGAATTGTACCCCCTCCCCCTCATCTGATCCTGACTTCATTTGGTACTTCCCCAACAGTAGGCCTACCTTCAATTAGCCCCTTAAATCTAAAACACAAAACTATGTAAAAATCCACGCAAAATGCCCTCTCCATTTTAAAACAGCACACAGTACATGGCATTATATGGGACTGGGTGTTCATGAAAACTAGATGATTCTGGACACAGTCCAGCTCCATATATGAACTAATGAGAGGATTTATAGGGAACACACAGAACAAAAGCCTTTCAATGGGAAATGACCCCTCGCCCGCTTTCTGAACAGAAAGATGGAGGCAAAGCCAACTAAACTCTGCTTTGATCCAGATTTAAACCTCGGGGCAGGGAGAGACAGAGGGTTAAAAGAGGAGGAGCAGTACTTATAGACCATTATTCCAGTAATCTAACATCTTTCCTTCACAAAGCGTTTATGAGGGGTCATTATGCAACCCAGTTATCAACCCACACTCTAATTCTTACTACTTATTGTTGTGCCTTAAAATTATTAAAAAATTTAGAATAGAATATAACCCATAGAATATTGTTTTCCACTTGTTTACATGTCGGGGATTATATCTTCCAGTGAAAGGATGTGTATGGATGCATTTGTTTAATAAAATAACAGGGCTACCAATTTAACAGTGCAATTTAGAATTTTTAATAAATAAATTTAGTGCACTTTAAAATAAATAAATGGGAATTAAAAAAAAAAATAGTACATTAATTTAGTGCAATTTAAGATTAAGACACATTGCACTGAAAGCTTCATTGCAACAAACTGCTTCTAGCTTCATTCTCTCTCAGATATGCGGTAGGTAATGAAACTCAAGTTAAAAGGTGTGAATGCTTTCAACAGCCCAGCAATGCTACATTTCACTGGCATTAACATGCACTTGGCCAACAGATCGAAAGACTGACTCTCTTCCTCGCATACACACATGGGGCCAGAAACCTAATAAATAACTCTGCATTGTGCACAGATCATAGCACAGACTGTAAGGGGGAGACAACTCAAATCAGAAAGGGATGGCAAGAATCACACAGAGCTGGACTGAGTGCAACTCAGCGAGTGGCAAACAAGGCAAAGCCATAAAATAAAAAGCAGCACAACGCACACATGCATTCAAACTAGAGGAATGATCATGAAATTGTCTTGTTTTAGACAAAATGAAAAGCAGCACGCTTCATTTAAAGCATGAATGCTAGCTTTCAACACACAACGCGTGAGACAATGCTGAGACTCAAATGTTGACTCCCGCAATGTAGCACAGACTAGAAAGATTATTGACTCTGGAGGCAAATAAATTAAGTTTGAACAAGAAGACAATAGAGAGTTGTGGCAGCTGGACAGGAGGGTTGGAAAGAGCATTTCATCATCGGGTCAGTAATGAAGCCCTCCTGGGATGCACTAGGGGGGGTAAGATAACCCAATTAGGCCGCATTCATGACGTCCAACGATATAGGCAAAACAGTGAGGGACAAAGAAGATTAATGGCCTGCTGAAAGAAAGCATCAAAAAGTACTAAAAGAGAAAAAAAGAGAAAGAACGACAAAGCAAAGCAAAAATGAACAAGTACCCTCTTCTGTCCCTGAGATTTGCTCAAGACTGGTTCAAAGGACAGGTCAAAGGCCAAGGCGGGAGACAGTCCTTCTCCAAAGTCGGATTTAAGGACCAGTCTCTAGGGAAAACAGCCCTGAAGCGAATGATATGGATGAGTGAGACCGCACACAGAAACACCCATAGATCATAAAGATGATCAGTGGATTCTTCCCTAAGTGTCTCTATCCTCACAGTGAAACCGATTCCTTGATTGATTGATCTGAGTGTCATGCTCTTCACCCCATGTGACAATCTTTATTTATATCTGATATCAAATGAGGGTGTTGCAGCATTTGTTTTCAGTTTAGAAGATTTTTATTTCTAAAACAGTGGCCAGATTCACAAAACATTCTGAAGAATAAAATTCTTCTTAAAGGGGCTATATGTAAGAATTTTCATGTAATAGCTTTTTTATCGCCAATGTGTAAACAGCTTGTAACAAAAGTTAAAAGACAAGACCTTCCTCAACTTCCTAGGCTGTCTATGAAAGCCTGTAGACTGATTTTTATGTGAAGGATTCGGGAAAATCAAAAGGATGTGAAGTTTACGCACACTCCAGAGAGCCTTTCTTCCATTCAATGACACATGATATGAATGCTTATACAATGTCCAGAACAATGCCGAAAGAGCTATTCTGTACAGTAATGTCAATGTGTCATGCAAAGAAAATGGAATAATTCAAACTATTAGTCTCACATAGCCAGATCTATATACAGTCTTATAGACTCAAATATACTTTAGAATCAAACTATAATAACAGTGTAATTTGAATTACCTCATCTGTCTACGTGATGCCAGAGAATTGCAGAGCTAGTGCAAACATATCCACATTGCTATGATCAGATGTTTTCTTAACTGCTGTTTTCTCACCACTGTCATTCATTTCTATTGTGTGTTTGTCATTGAGAGGAAAGAGCGCAGCACATATTATTAATCTAAACTCTCAGCAGTGTGGCAGCATCAGGACTTTTGTTAAAAGCATATTGCTGCAAAGATATTTCCAACTTATTTTTCCTTAATCAAAGAACGAAAAAGAACTTTGTATATCGTGAGTATATCAGGGCCTTGAATCAAGTTAAGTCTCTTGTACTCAACAAATTATCTCAAATAAAAATGCCCTCTTCCTTTGTACAATTTGCAATGCGGAACTTACGACTTACAATGCAGAAGAGAAAAACAAATGAAGTAAACAAAAACATCTACTGTGTATAACCCATGGAGCAATACTTAAGCATCAAAGTGTCACTGCTTTTGTGGAGGCAGAATGAGGGTGGAGGTATGCTTGTTGGTGTTGATGGGTCAGCAGCTAAAGGTCCCTCTGGGGCCCCAAGTCTCACACTCCCACCCTGAGTGCTGCTCTCCAGGGTAGTGAAGCCGAGCAGAACAGGAAATAGCTGCTGACTTAACCCCCAACTGTGTTCAGCTTCGCCGGCCCCTAATTAGACAGATATTCTAGAGGTTTTTTTTTTTTTCTCAGGACATTTATATTTCAGGCACTGTCTTTGCCATATGCAAAATGGTTTAGGGTAAAGGTTAGGATGTGGATCGGGGTTAATTATGATTTATGGCAAGAGTTCATATGCCTGTTGTGTTCAGCCTCTCTTGATGCTTTGGAAAGTAGAACAAACTGTTCCTCTGTGCTCTAGCGTGGGAAACTAAGTTCTGTAATTCATCATCATGGACTGGTATCTATACAGTACGTTTAAATGTGCAGTTTTAATCTATGTACAGTAGGATTGTACATAGCTGAACTACAGTAAAGGTATACATGACACAATGTGTAATCGAATGTGTGAAGGATTAAACAGTGATGCTTATCCAAGGCATCTCAAAGATGTCTGTGACCCCTCCTCTCTGCATCATCACACAGCAGTGCAATAAACTTCCCTCTCGCAGCATGCAGACGATGCAGCTGCATGTGTTTAGTAAACACCGTCTGTTTCATCAGTCTGTGACTGACGGGAGGAGGGGTGAGAGATCAAACCTTCAGCACAGAGAGCAAAGACTCCTCCACACCTGTGTACTTCAGACACATCCCACCCACAACAACTCTAAGCCATTTACCCAAACAGAGTAAATATTTGCATGAAGATATGAGGGTCAGATCAAGGCCATAAGCTGTTGTCACAGGTCAGTCAAGGGGAGGCAGTCTGGATAGAAGTGGAGGGCTTATATGTTGAATGTTTTGTCTAATTTCTTGCCTTGTTATGTCTCAAAAAAGCCTCATCATCCACATGCACTAGAGGGGGGCAATGGAAAAGATTATACTGATTAAAAAAAGTACTGCTGATTATGTCTGATTTAGTATTTGCTTAGAAATACAAACCTGTAAGTAAGACTTTGAAAACGTGGAATCATTCAAAAGCTCTCTGGGCGAGTTGAAGTTGAGAAAGAGTCTGAACAGTGATACCAATCTATTTTCTGCATGTTTTAACTGGAATAAACCATAGACAAACGTGCCGACAGGAGAGATGGGTGTTTCCTCATCTCAGGAAAGAGGAAACAGACTGTCAGACTCACAACAGGGCTATTTAGTTGATAGCAGAGAAATCAGCATTATATTGTAGATCCACAATCTGTGTATACAACTGATAAATAAATTATCCTCACAGTGTATCAATCTTAATTTTATTTTTTCTACAGTAAATGTAGTAATTTACAAATTATCATTAAACTCTGCTGTGTTTCCTGTTGGAAATTCTATCTTAAACAGTTTTTTAAAACATGCAGCTTGTTTCTAGCTGGTTTCAAGCTGGTCTAGCTGGCTTAAAGGTGGTCAGCTACTTGACCAGTCCCCATGTTTCAGAAACCAGCTTGACCATTTATAACTGGTTTATGCTGGTGTGCTAACTAGGATCAACTAATGACTTTGACCAGCTAAAACCAAACAGCTGACAAGCTTAAACTAAATTTTCAAACTGGTAATGTTAATAAATTCAACAAACATTAAAGTAATATGAATTTTGTGGATATTTTAACTCACTCTGTATGAAAAAAAAAACTGCAAAAAAACTGAATTGATTGCAAACATTAGGAATGTGTAGTTCGTGTTGGGAAAACATGGTAAACATTACTCGAAACAATATAAAACTTCAACTGACAACTGCATGTTATTTCTGTTATGTCACTTCTGTTATGTCATAAAACCTTACCTTTTCGACAGATCTTTGTGGAGTGCTGTCCCGGTCTGGTATTTGTAAACTCCGGGTCCCCACGTCGCCTGGACGCATGTCAGCCACAGTATCAGCAGCAAGAGCGTCCACAAGAGGAAAGAGCTCCGGTGAACCGGAGACACCGAGCGCCCGTCACGCGCTCCCATTTCAGCCGCGTCAACTATACGGAGGACCTAGCCTACTCAGCAAAAAAAAAAAAAAAAAAATCTTCTAATATTGACCCACTTATCTTGCAACTGTGACTAGAGGACAGATATAAGACTCGCAAGACTAATTTCTGAACTGTCGTTTATTTTACGAGCATTAACAAACAAGTCTTGTTTATGTGCACTGCTGCGTCTCAAACACGAGAGTTAAAGTTTCAGAGGATTGTCATCGGCAGACCCCGCCACAAATAAATATCCTCGCAAAGTTTGCTCGCAAACCGCAAGACAAACGTTTCTTAGCAGCCACACAAACCGGTCCCGCCTCACTCCTCCATCTCCGTCTCTCTGTAGGTAGGCTACGTTACGGTATATTTCTTGACTACATCAACACAATGGGCAAGAAAGCGGTTTTATAGTCGCATTGAGTCCCACAGCCTGTGTAGTTTTTTTCACCCAGCCCAGTTCCCTCTTTCTCTCTCTGTCCTCTCATGCAGCACTCCCCCTTTCCTGCTCTTCCAGTGAAAACTTTTAGACGTGAAACAAATGGATTTATGGCGTCCTTGTTTAAGAAGCAGTTATGGTCTCGTTTTAAAAAATGCAGTCAGAAGAGGCTAATAAGCAAATCCACAGCCAACAGAAATCTCAGCTGTTTCTCCAAGCAATAGAGATCACAATAATGTCTCACACTATGCTCAACCACAGCCAACAGAAATCTCAGCTGTTTCTCCAAGCAATAGAGATCAGATCACAATAATGTCTCTCAAAATGACCGGTATACCAAAGTTTGCAATCAAAAGTCACAATGAATGTGACATGAATATGTCTTCTTCCAAGCTATCCACATTAATTTTAAGCATCTCTTATGTGGACATTGATTGTTTCACTGGTGTTTTTTTAATGTCTTATATATATATATATATATATATATATATATATATATATATATATATATAACCATCTATTTTCTTATAGGCCTATATCCTTACACCTAAACCTATCCATAACTTATCCCTAAAATCAAAGGGAAATGATAGGTGAATAACACTGATGTAAGCACCTAACCTTGGTTGTAAGCCAAAACTTGTCATAAATTGTAAATTTTTTCCTCAAATCTGATTGGTTGATTGGAATGTTGTTCCAGGATAAAAAAAGATGTTGATTCCAGGAAACAAATTGTACTTGGTAAAATCCACCCAGAAAACACAAAACGTTTTTACAACTTTTTGTAAACGTTAAAATTTTATTAGGTAATGTTGCAGTACGTTTTAAAAACGTTTAAGAAACCACTACTAAAATTTAAAAATAATGTAACCAAAATAAAAAGTTTTAGAAACATTGTGAAAATACCAACCTGGTTGTCACACTTATTCAGTTGTTTATTCTTAGTTTCCTTTTTAATAGACTTTTAGTTTTTTTTTTTTGTTAGTCACATGTGTTCCTTTGTTTGAGTTTCCCGCCACTCATCAGTTTCCATGGACACTAATCATCATCACAGCTGTTCATCATTTAGTTCATCACCTTGTGTATTTTAGCTCTACCAAAAAGACTCGGGAGGATTCTCGTATGAATGGATTTTATTTTGTAAAATGATTTTACAGACAAAATAAATAAGTAAACCCTCGACAAGCTCCGTCTCAAAGTTCTTTGGCGTAGGCCCCGTCCTTAATCCAGGGGCACGTTCAAGTTCAAAACGGTGCGCAACGTTTTGCTACGGTTTCCGGGTTGAACGTCATGTTTCCTGGAAACGGCGTGCACCGGTGTGCAACGGGGTTTGAGATACGTTTTATCTTGTTTGGTGGGTGTGTCAGAACTGCAGTCCAATCAGCAGCAACATGTATATAAAGCACGCGGTATTAAAGTGAACTCGCACAATGGGTTCAAGGAAAGTAATTTACAAATGTGTTCGATGCAGCTCGGTATACGCAACAACTGAGGATATTAGAAGACATGTTTGTCCTAAGTTTTATTGTAAAAATATAGGATATCAACATAATGATGTAGTTGTTTATATGTTTAGCTTCATTGCAAGTGTATGACATTTGGTATAGAAATAAACAATGGTAATTAAGTGCTTTTCCTAAAAATGAGAAAGAAAATACAGGGTATTAAAACAGTATGAACTACAAATAAAGTCAGTATATGAGGCTAAATAGATGTGTTTTAGTCTGAAATAAGATGTGTGCTTCCATTACAGTTTCCACAAATCCCTTCACTCAATTGGGATGTTCTCTTGTGTTCTGGGCGGCAAGTGCAGTTACTGTAACATGGGGCATATTTTGTAGTATTAAACACATATTTATACCGACTTCATCAGGCTCCGAAAATTCTTCACAAAGAACACAAAGAATGGCCTTCTCAGCTGCCATAGTTGCAACTCTTGCATCATCAGAACAGTGTGTTCAACGCATCACCGTTTCTGTTTAAAAAACGTGCAACGTTTACTGAAGTTAACTGGTAGGTCCTGCCTGATGATAGAGGCAGGGGCGGAGCCTACCACCGGACGAGTGGACGGGAGCCATCCTGGTGGTGGTGGGGAGGATGGATGGGAACTTCGCTACGACACATACAGGCAGCAAAATAGGAGGGTAAGATCCATGATTGACCTTAAATTTATAAATGATAAGGGCTGTCGCCAGAGCGACAAGAAAGCTACGATAGGCGTTGATGAACGAAGGCCGCGATTGGCCATGAAATATTTGGGCTTTAGTGTTTAATCATGAAAGCTACTTTCAGTAGTGATGCCTCGATAGGCTAAGTTCATGTATCGAAGACGATGTTAAGTCGAAAGCTACAATAGCATTAATGAACTAGGCCACGATTAGCCATGAAACAATGACATGTATGTAATCATGAAAGCTATATTTCAAAAGCCACGATAGGTTGAAATTAATGAAGGCGATGCAGAAGCAAAAGCCGCGATAGGCATTTTATAAGCGGGGGCTACGATTAACCTTGGAGCGTTGTAATTATGGTATACTCATCGAAGCTACTCTTCATGAATTCGCTATGGGCTGAGTTAACGGTAACGGAACAAAATTAAGAAGGAAAACCACGATTGTCTGCGTGTAGAGCTAAAGCAGGTAAGCTTCGAAAAGCATACGCATGGATAGACATATGGATCGTATTTAACCACCACCAGTAGCTAGTGAAGAGATTTACCTTGATTGTGGGTTGAGAGGGCTTGTTGAGAATTTAGTAGAACATGCGTGTCGGATCTGATGTAGGTCTTGTATGCCGTGGATGACCATCTGCCGAGCATTTGGATAGTAGAGTCAGAAACGCCGCATTCAGCTGCTGTCGTTGCGGTTCCGATACGAAAGGAATGCCCAGTGTATAGATGTGGAGAAAGACCGCGGAGCATTAAGACGGAAGCTAGATGAGTTCTAAACCAGTGCTTTGTCATTGGAAGTCCGTTCGGTAGTATGAATAAAGGGGAGTTTCTTGAAGTGCTAAGTTGTGCTTTGAGATATCAAACCATAGATATATAAGGGCAATATGAATTATTGATTTTGGATATACAAATAGTGACACCTGATCCAGAAAAATTTGCTTTCGAAAACTTAATAGATAAATTGAAAAAGGGGGGAGAAAAACGTAAATCGGAAAGAGACAAGCCACGAGCCGAATTAAAAAGTTTTGAATCGGAGGCGAATTCCCCTGATCGCATAAACCCGTAAAAAGCGATTAAAAACACTGCCTCTAGGAGGATGTTAATGTACTCGCAAAACGGACCATTACGTAAGTAAGATACTAGTCTGTGCAGAAGGCTTAGTGTAATAGGGAGACGTTTCTCTGGAGTCTTTTGGGCAAAATTCTCTATGCCTTTGAGTAAAAGCCGAATTGTGGGCGTAGAAAAAAGGCTTGGATAGTTAGGATTATGAAATTTATTGTGGCGATCTTCAGGTAACGAGAATCAGAGCAATGATCTAGGAACGCACAAATTAACGTCGAGATTAAACGTCGAGATTAAAATGGGCAGTATGGGGATTCTGAACGAAAAACAAAAATTAGTAAACCGGGACCAAGCAGAATTGTAGGATTTAAATGTTGATGGCGTGACTCTTTGAGTGATATAGAATCTAGCAGAATTTAATAGGGTATTAAACTGAGAATCTAAGATTATTTCGGCCAGGGTCGGGCATGGTGTTGGATTCTGGTTTGCTGCTGGGCAAAGACGTCTGAAAGCCTGCAAACGAGAGCGAGAGAGAGCATCAGCAATGACGTTAGAATGTCCTGCGATATGTATGGCTTTAAGGATGAAATTGTGTGTGACATGGTGTTGGATTCTGGTTTGCTGCTGGGCAAAGACGTCTGAAAGCCTGCAAACGAGAGCGAGAGAGAGCATCAGCAATGACGTTAGAATGTCCTGGGATATGTATGGCTTTAAGGATGAAATTGTGTGTGACGGATTGCCAAGTTAAGCGTTGGAGTAGAGACATAATAACCGGGCATTTCGAACGCCCTTTGTTTATGATGTCAACTGTAGCTTGGTTGTCGCAATACATATCGATGCGTTTACGTGAAGCGGTACCCCAGAGAACGCTAGCTACGACGATGGGGTATAGTTTGTGAAGAGCAGTTGAGGAAGAATTCGCAATCAAGGAATAAAATTCATCCGGCCATTTCTCTGCGAACCACTGTCCTTGAAAAAGAAACCCAAAACCATTAGAGGAAGCTGCGTCGGTAAATAGCTCGAGTGCGATGGATGATTCAGAATCATCGTTATAAAAAAAACGAGATGCCGTTCCAATTGTTAAGCAGGTATGACCAAAACCTGAGGTCTGATTGGCATCCGTCGTCTAAGTGGATCGAGTCATACAGGCTATCGACTGAATGGGTCAGTGTAAGCAGACGAGAAATGATGGAGCGACCTTGAGGTATAATTCTCATGGTGAAATTGAGATGCCCGAGTAGAGAGAGCATGTCGCGTTTCGAAACCGTGCGGCCTACCAGGAAAGATTCCAGGAAGAGAGGCTTGCATCTGAACGGAATCGAGAAGGATACCGAGAAATTCGAGGGAAGTAGAAGGACCCATGGTTTTCTCGATTGAAAGGGGCACGCCTAAATCACTGAATAATGATTTAAGTGAGTCGAGTACGGAGCTTTGTGGCGAGGAAAAATCTATTAGTAAAAAATCATCGAGTAAATGTAGAACGAAAGGGAGCTTGCAAACATTCAACAGGATCCAACACAAGGCCTCAGATAAGCAGTTAAATATATGTGGACTACTTCTACACCCGAAAGTGAGTCTCACTGCGAAGTAGAGCAGAGATTCCCATTTAACGCCAAAAAGATGCCAATCGGAAGGGTGAATGGGCATAATCTTGAAAGCATCAGTGATGTCTGCTTTGGCTAGCCAAGCACCGTAACCTGTTATCTTACTTAGATGGATAGCGTCGTCTACCGAAGCGTAGTGCAGTGAAAAAGGCTCTAAAGGAATGCATTCGTTAACGCTTGCAAAGCTATTAGAATGGGGTGAAGACATGTCGAAAATCAGACGCTTT